CCGCCTGGGTTCAGTTCAGTGAGTTTCTTCAGTCCACGGGAAACGATCAGGGCGCAGACTGTCGCTGGGTTGTTCCCAAAACCAACCCTGGCTTCTTACGCTCATTTGCTTGTAGCAGAAGGCACTGAAGCGACTTTTCCTTCTGGCATTTGCTTCTCGACAAAGCCCAGAGACCTGGTGGCTCAGGAGACCCGGCTTCTGTCCAGCAATGAAGCCCCACGTGGGTTTAGCTGATCTGGAGCCGCAACCCGCTTCGCAAAGCAATACAAAAATCGGCGCTCGGCAAGGGAAGGGAGGAGGAGGGGTGCTCTCCTGCACACCGCAACGTCCACCTCCCGGAGGGCTTTTCCAAAAGCCGGCAGAGCGCTCCTTACTCCAGCCGCGCAGCTGGGGCCGTCCCCCTGCTACAGCTCCCCACCTTCCTCCGCAGGCGGCATTGAGTAACTCTTGCACACGCACACAAAAAGCAGCTTCCCCGCGTTTCAGGGGAGTGACAAAACTTTCCTCCTGCCTTTCTCAGGTCTAGCTCCTTTCCCTCACATGCTCTCTCGTTTCTTTTCTTGCTGACAGCCAGAAATCCCTCCCACCAGCTGTGTCCAGCCCCAAGAGGAGGGGGGAAACCCTGCAGAACAGTAGCAGAAATGCTTCAGGTTTGTTTCTCAAAAGACAGCTCTTTTGCACTACCCAAGGCCAACTCTGCACACACCACCCAAAATCTCTTTCCCAGCAGCTCTAAAAATACCCCGCAGAGACTTAATCTTTCCTATGCGCTCTAACAGATAACCAAATTGATCGCATCCCCAGGAAATTCTGCTGTGCATGTACAACAGGCATCTGACCTGCACTCGGCTGCTCTTAACAGCCAGTCCCCAGGGTGGCGGGGGGATACACTGGGCAGAGAGGGAACTGGGCAACGAGATTAAACTGCTAGTTTTCCCTCCAATCTCCCTACTACGTAAGGAAACAGCACCAAAAAAAATCGTAAGGATTTTGCTGAAGCTGGGTGACTGTCTGCTGGCCCCTGCGAAATGAGAAAACAGAGAGAAGTGCCCAAGCCTGATTGTGCGATGGCTCGCTGCCGAGTTTCCTCTTCCAAAGAGCTGCCGTGAGTATCACCAGATCTTCTTGCCAGGCTTGGCAGCAACAGTGAGGGCCGAGCCATCTCCTGCCTGCCTTCCAGAAAGGACAGGCGCACGGTGGCCGATGCAGTAGGATAGGGATGAAGAGAGCAGAGCAGAGATGCTGCACTGAGACTCCCTCACCAAGGGCCAGGAGGAATCAAAGCAGCATCTGGGTGCTGCTCCGCTGCGCTGGGCAGACCCAACCTTTGGCAAACACAGATTTCAGTAAGAGAAGCAGGATCAGGAGGTTTGGGTAGTTCCAGTGCTCACGCCATACACATAATTTTGCAACTGAAAGACCACCTTTACAGCAAGACTAATGTCACCAAGGAGCCCAAAAGCTGGTAGCTCTTGGAAGAAGCAAGGGCAGCTGCTTTTTACACCTTAACACTTCCAAAGTCACAGCAGCTGCATAAATCATTTAGGTCAGAGAAAAGGAGCGGGGAAGAGGAGCTAAAGTCTCCACTTAGACATAAAGCATCTGCCAAGCCTAACAGATAGGAAGACAACATCTTTCCTTCTTCCTAGAGCAGAAGGACAACAACATAAAGATGTTTTATAATGACGGGGAGAGCTCCAGGATACAATAAATTCCGGCCTCCGTTTTCCAGTTAGAATGTTCCTTACAGTAGGAAACCTTAAGACTGCTCCCAGTTAGTCTTTCAATGCTAACTTACCACTGCTGCCCAAAGCTTTCCTTACGCTTAGCTGATCCTCCATTTAGGTCCAGCTTTGGCAAACACAGTGCTGGGTATGCGGTACCTGGACTTCTGAGATGCCCAGATGAAACCCCCAGGCACAGCAAGGCACCATGGCACCAGTCCCCCCAGCCCAGAGCAAACGCAGACAATATCTGCACTGAAGCCACAGACCACGGAAATATAAATATGAACTTGCCGTTCATTCCCTGGCATTCTTTAATCTTTGCTGTGAGGTACGCTGAACATGGCACGGCCTTTAGGACTTGAACTTGCAGTTCCATCCCTAGTCCTGCTCTGCTCCATCTCCCTGTGCTTCATCTGCCACATCACACCTGGAAATTTGGACAAGATGGGATTTAAGGAATTTGAACATCTGACCAAGATTCGCTTCACAGTAGCTCTGACCAGATCCACAGAAAACCCCCTGTAGATCCAAAAATCTCATTGCTTCATGAGTATATCAGAATCTGCCTCCAGAGCACCCCCAAGCAGAGCAGCACGATCATTTTGGCTAAGCCCAGGGCTTCCTGCATATATACTATGCAGCGTATACGCACCTCCTCGGCCCAGGAAACGGCGGCAGAGAGCAGGCAGGCCTTGTACAGCACTGGCTGTGCAACTGTGACGGCACAGGCCGCCGCCGCAGGCTCCAAGAAACGCAAAGAGGGATGCACACCTGCAAGCCGCGGGGCTCCTTCCCTTGCAGGCGGGAGCACCAGTGCGGATCCTGCATTTGGGGGGGGTCACACGTGGCCTGCCCCCCAGGATTTTGCACAGGTACCAACTCTGCACCGTGCAGGTAAGACCACGCGTGCCCACGCGGCAGCTGGGCACCCTGCCACCTGGCTGGCCCTGGGTACGGGGCAGGGAGAGGGTGGGCTCAGCAGCCCAGCGTACCACACCATACCACACCGCCTTGGAAGGCGGCGAGAGCCCGGCCCAGCCCTGCCGTGATGCTGTAGCTTTTGTGTTAAAGTCTCTGTAAGTATTAACGCTTGCAAAATGGACATGGAAGCCTTCAGGCAGCTGTATAATCCGACCTACTGAGGGTGTAGATGAAAGCTTGTAAATTAACTCGTTACAAAACCCAGCACAATTCAGAATTCACTTGCACACTAAAACCACTAAAGTAGCTTTAATAAACTACTTCATCAAACGCCCTCCCTGTGCAGCGGGTTACAGATCGTTAGCCTCGTAATTACCAATGAACTAAATGGAGGCTGACAATTTGCTGCTTCGGAGCGACGCCTGGCCAGTTTCGGAAGCTGCGAGAGCTCCTCCGGGCAAGCAGAAGGCAGAGGCAGTTTCGGTCCTTTCACCACAGCACAAGCTGAACTGGCAGGGAGAGGCAGAGAGAAAGGTGCACGGCGGGTAGAAATGAGCACCCCACACAGCAAGGATAGCTTTGGTCCCATCGGCTTGACATCAGCATTCCTGTGGAAACAACAGACAACTTTTAATTTTTGTAAGGCAAGACATTTAAATCAGTAACACTAAAAATAAGCTGTAGCAGATCTCAAAGGTGCTAGTTTAAAAGCTGAGCTCATTCCCCTCAGAGTGAAAATATAACCTGCTCATAGGTTGCCCTAAGGATGAGACAGTGTTGTATCTGTGATGGTTCGACAACATAGTGTGGCAAAACACTCAGAGAAAGGTAGAATCTTTTATTCATCAAATTAGAAGAAATCAACTTTTGTATCAGTCAAGCTGTTAGGTGTTTCTAGCCATTAATCAAAACTGCTGAAGCTCACTCAGTCGTGTTATCTCACCAGAACTGATCCCTGGAACACCGAGAAGGAGCATCACATTCTTACCACAGATCGGTCCCTCCTGATCTGCAAATACAACTTCATCAGCCTGCAGTGCCAGCATGTGGCGAAGATAGCCCTCGGCGCAGTGGATACCATCTCTGTGGGAGAGTTTGAGTTCCCACCTAAGTCTCTGATCACGTAAGCTGCCATGGTCATGCTGTAATGCTATGGTAATCCTTGTATTGTTATTGTAAATAGCTGGAGCTATCAACCTTTTTACTGACCACTGGACAAGTTGGAGAATTCTTCCTTTTGCTCCTGTGACTTGGTAAACAACCACTGAAGCTTCATCAGACCACCTCAGGGTAGCTGCTGTTTTGCTGGGACAGTGAGTAGTTATGTTAAAAGCAAGTCGCTCAAGGACTTTCCAGATAAGATTCCAGATAAGATGAATAGATCTGGGAGCAGAAGTTCATCGCCACTCTGTAACACAGTGAGTAGTAGCACCATCTTGGCATTACTGGAAAGCCATGTGTAAGTGTCAGGTCATACGTGAATGCAAGCTATCACAGGCAATATGGTTCGGGCATTGTGCCCTACGTGGTCTAATGAGCTTCACCTTTTTGCACTCAGCTGATAAGGTACCTTTGCATATTTCAGGGACTGAGTTTTCCTGTTCTAGAGGAAATAATTACTATCAAACTTAAGTTTCAGCTTCCATTTTTAAGTAGGTCTTTTTCAGACAGTACATTGCTAATTAAACTTGCCTCAAAGACTCAGAAGTCTTACCATCTTAAATTCTGCTGTCTTCCATATCAGGTGAGAAGGTATCAGCATTTGAATTCAGTGGGACGAGCAAAGTGGTGCCTCCTTCATCAACAGATGGAACCCGTGGTCCACAAACATCCCGTACGTCACCTTTACCAAACATCCAACGGCAGGCACTTATGAGAAGATTGCATCCCTTTGCCTAGTAAGGATGTCACCTCTCCTATTCTAGATGGCTTGTTGATCTCCTAGGCTGGATACAGCTTAGATTATTTTTAAAAGATATAGCAGGTAAATCAAAGACACAGAACTTACAGCTGTACGCTACATTTCCCCATTCTCCAAATTTTGACTTGCAGGGCGGCATGACTGTCAGTTTTTGCCAGCTACCTATAAATGGCTTATACAAGAAGGAAGCTGAAGCTTCCGAAAGTGCAGAGTTCCATAAAACCCAAAAAAAAGCGAGTCTTGGTGCTATTCCTACCCTTGCTCACCTGACAGGCGAACACCCGACTTTTCATCTAGGACTGCCAGCTAATTAAACAACTAGTCTAATTGCTAACTGTAAACCTTCACTGAGGCAGTTCTCAGTTTTTCTTGCAGTAGTTGCTTTCCTCTGAAGGTTTCCTTAAAAGTAGAACACTATGGCAATCTAAGTTCAACACATCAATGATGAGGGCAGGAGAACTACAGTCAGAAATAAACAACAGTCACTGACAAATCTTTACACATCTAGCCCATGTGTTTAAGCTACACATAAATAGGGTCCTGGTATGAAATTAGCTCTATCCTTAAGGTTAAACTGCAGAATGTAAAGTTCTGTGAAAGAATATAAAGATCACGGCATGCAAGATCTACGACAACTACAGCTTTAGCATTAATCCTTTACAAGTCAACATCAGCAGCCATTTGCCTAACAATTATTAAAACAATAGAAAAACATCAAGGTGTTTTTTTTCTTTCAGTTGGAAAACTTTAAACCTCAGCTAATTCAAGCTGTGAAGAAAGCCCACAAGGAGTGGCCCTTGCCAGGAAGGACATTGCTAGAGCATCCTTTTCTGATCGAGGCCTACCTGGGATCGATGTCCTTCATCGACAGTAAGGCCAAATGTGGCTATGCCTGACAAGAGGCAAAATTGGATTTTAAAATTCATTGCATTTAATCTTTTCAATCTATCAAGTTTGATATGGGGCTCCTGGGGAGAGCACGCCACATGGCAGAATACTCAGTAGTGAACGCAAAGAAGTTAGAGGAACGAAAGGGGGTGGTTGTAGAACTAACAGCTCGCAGGAGGCCCTGGTTGTTATGGCCAGGTCAGATTCATCTCAAGCAGACACAAGGCGGTGTCATTCTTGTATTTTGTATCTAATTTATAGTTCTTACTGGTTCTTAGACAGGGCTAGTGAGCAGCAGTATTCTCCATTTCTAACTAGATGTTCTTCACTGTCAGTTAAGTGCGATGGGGAATCTGCCACAAACACTCCACACAAAAAAAACAAGGTACAGTAGAATATTCATGCCGTATTACAGTTGTCCCTATACACGGTGTCAAATCACACAGTGTGCTTGGGATCCATTTGTGTTGTGTAAAGTGGTCACAACGACTGTAATCTTAGCATTTTGATTAAAATTAAGAATTTTGAAAGCTGCCTCAGTCGTTCTTTAGCTAAACAGAGTCAACAAATAGTGTTAAAGCCGTACTGAGCAGACCTAACAGAAGCAGCATATGTGAATTATTATTTTGTAAACCGAAGCATACGGCTGACTACGTGTTCATTAGCTTTTGTAAAAACACCCCCTCTAACAACTGAAACTTATGTAAAGCTGAAGTCTTGATGGAATGCAACAAGTTGCATGCCCCTCTCAATGTGTTTTATAAGATAGCTATTTGATTTTCATGAATCTTGCAGTGAAGTTAAATTTCACCTTGATTTGTTCCTCCCCCTTCATTTTGTGGAGACTGAGGCTGTGAAATTAAGTAGCAAAAGAAAAAAACATCCAGTAAATTCCTAAACAACGGGCTCCCTTCCTTTGAAGAATCCAGTGGCCGGTCACCCAGGCTAAAGACAAAGGATAGCCCAACTGCTCTTTCC